CCCCCCCCCCGCTGGGGGATTCTGGGAGTTGAAGTCCACCCATCTTAAAGTTGCTGAGGTTGAGGAACCCTGTGTTATAGTTTTCTCCCAGTTCCATCTTTGATTAGGATTGCGGGCTTGTAAACTTAATGTTTTTCTCCTCCCTACACCATTCCAGAAGGCAACTTACCTGTGGGTTTTGTTCTGACTTTTTTGCTTTATGCAGTTTGCTTGTACTAAAGCTGAAACCAGATAATCCGTTAAATGACAGATTCATGGTGCATTACCTAGCTGTTTGAAAGCTGTGCTTTTACTGTTGCCACCTTTTGCAGATGATCAAAAGCTCTAATTATTGTTTAAATCACCCCCACGTGCTGGGACATCTGAAAATATTTAACAGTTGTATGATGGTAGAGAGCACTTCCCATCTGGCACGGGAGGTTCCGGCCAGTGATCTCTTACGCCTTTGTAGATTAGCTGAAGATCTGCACCCACACAAAAAATGTTGCTGTGCTACAACAGTTCCCTTTTCTGGAAGTGATAAAGTCACACCAACTCTTTGATTCTGTAAGTTATCTTAACAAAGTGGGCAGAACTCTTACACGCAGCTGTTTACACTTCTTTCAACAAACCTTCTTTCCTGACAGTAGACTGCATACCATTTGCAAGATTTCCATTTGCAAGTCTTAAAATGTCTCCATTCCTCAGCTTTAGAAAACATTTTGCCAAGATACCCACACTTATCTCCTTACTTCTTTTTTTGCCATTCATGAACAACTTGCAGTTGTAAACTCTGTTTTCCCCATCAAACACAGCTGCCTTGGTTTTTGATAAATTAAGTTTCCAATCCCTTCTCCTTATTGCATCATATAATCTATCCAACATTTGCTGCAAATAATTTTGGTTCCCAGGCAACAATGCAGCATTGTCAGCATGCAAAAATTACATGCAGGTTCATGTCTCCAACAAAGGTGCCTCTGCCGTGACCACAAGCGTACACTTGTCCATAACTACGTGAAACACAAAAGGGACATCACATATTTTTGTTTTACTCCCTGTTCATCCTTGAACCATTCACTGAACGTTCCATTTATTCTCAAGCACGCTTTATTTCTGTCATCCACTGACACATTCAACCACCAGCCTTCATAATCACACAAAACATTCCATAATTCAATCCTCTTTATCAACAGACATACAGTAAACGTTCTTTCCCGCAACGGCATATTTGTTTCACTCTGTTCCAAGAGCAGTAGTAATAAATGTCCATTTTTCCCAAGATCTATTCTTGATATTCCCAAAAATGGTCTGTTCCATATGCAGAAATTCTCATTACCCTTGTGTTCTTTGCTAATTATCTTCAGCCCTTTGCCATGTGTACATATGAATAGACATGCTTAAGAAAATGTTTGCTCCGTGTATTGGAGCAAACCTTTTCTTTTAATGAACAGTCACCATTTTCATTCATTTTGGAATCTCTAAATGGCCCAGTCACTTTTTGTGTAGGCTCTTCCTCAGTCCCACCCATTGATTCTTGTCATCTAATAGAATACTGTACATCAGTGTTTCTCAACCTTGGCAACTTTAAGATGTGTGGACTTCAGCTCCCAGAATTCCCCAGCCCTGGGGAATTCTGGGAGTTGAAGTCCACACATCTTGCCAAGGTTGAGAAACATTGATGTACTTACTTGCAGATAAACCCATCTGTAGATAAGCCGACTCTCAAATTTTTAACCCAAAAGCATGAAAAACTGTGCCGACCCTCAAATTTTCACATTTGGCTTATCTGTGGGTGACATTTTCCATGGTATTTTGGTTAAAATTTCAAGGGTCTGCTTATGTGCGAGTATAAGAGAGTCACCCGTTGGGGGGAGATGGGCGGCATACAAATTTAATAATAAATAAAATAAATATATGGGTGCTTTAAAAAAGCTGAGGGAAAAACCTACAATATATACTCTCAGATAAGCTGAACTCAATTTTTGGGGTGTTTTGTATTTTGGCACCTAAAATTCTCGGCTTATCCACGAGTATATACAGTAATTTTCTTTCTTTTCTTTCACTCCTTAATTCCTTACTCCTTATCTTTTACTCCTTTTACATTCCACATCATAATCTTCCACGTGCCATCACAGGAAGGGCCCCTAGATATTTATTTATTTATTTATTAAGCAAATTTATATAGCCGCCCATCTCACCAAAAGTGATTGTTGTACACTCTGGGCAGTGTACAACAATCAGATAAAAAAACTAATATAAAAACAAGATGAAAAATATAAAAGCCACATTAATAAATATCAGAAAAAACAAGATACAAACCATAGAGGAGGAGAATAAAAATGACCCCCTCAGCAATGGAGCCATCTGTTGACCACCGTGCCCACAATGACTTTGATCAAGTGAGACTTTCAGATCACCAGCTTTCTGCAGCTAACTGGAAGGACAGTTCTGGTCAGTTCGGGCACATTTATGCCAATCTGCCATAAGTAGAACCAAAGCCCAGGTTTATCTGTTCTAGGATGTCTGATCTAGAGATTACCTTGCAAGACCTACATATTGTAGGTCCACCAGTTAGGACATATATGCCATGTACTAACACAGGATGAACTTGGAGTTTTAAAAAATGGAGGTGCTGGAACCATTAATAGGCTAATGTTGGCGGAATAAATAAATAAATAAACAAACAAATAAATAATAGTAATGCCTGTCCCAGGTCCTTGGGGAGGATAGGTGGATAAAAATGCCAAATCCAGTCTAAACATCTGGCTGACTGTGCGACCCATGTATCTGAATGGCTGTTTGCGTAACTATAACTGCTTTGTAAAGAGTACCTTAGGCCTACCACCCTCCATTTACTTACCTTGGATTAAGTTTCCAGAGATTTCCAGCCTAAACATGTGCTGGATTGCGTTGTAAGAATTTTAACTTTAGGTACCCAGTTTGACCCAGCCCGCGTTCATTATCGTTTCGGTCCCTTTCTAAGGCGGCGGCAGCAGCAGCGTGTCACCTCCAGGGGGCGCTGTTTCTTCAAGGACTGCCGCTATCCCGTATCGGTTCCTAAAAGCCATTGTGGTGATCCGTAATGAAGTGGGCATAATATAAATCAGACAGGATATTGCCATTCTTTTTTGTTGCTGCTGGTCAGGAGATACCGTGCAATGGATGGTGAATCACGTCCGTGCATCCCAGTGTCTCTGGGGCTCCTCACTGGGGCTAAAACTTGGAAATCTCCCGCTGCTCTCCTGCTTGGCAACAGTTATAACAAATGAGTAACGGGCAGGGGGTATTAACATTTTACCAAAAAGCATTCTAGAAGGGTCATGCTGCGGCAACCCACTGCCCATCAGATGTTACCGGTTCCCTGTTGCTTTGGCACGGGATTCCTGGTGCTCCCAGGCATGTCTCCATCTTGGCTCCCCCTATCTGAACCCCTCCAGATCTCTTGCGGCTGTGACTTTCCGAATGTCCAGCCAGAATCCCAAAACGGGCAGTCCCAGCACATTTTGAAAGCATCTGCTTGCAAATGGCTCCCTCAGTGTGAGTTGCAACTTGAATTTCACGCAAAGCGGTCTCCCTTTCGTTTCATGTGAAGTTCAGGAGTATCTTGCCAGTGGACTGGCAGTGGGGTAAAAACAGGACGTTCCTGACACGGCCCACCGTGCCTAAGTCGGGCACGCTCTGTTAATTGGCAAGGCAAGCCCATTCGACGAATTCAATCCGGTTTAAGGCACCAAGGTTCTTCCAGTAAACTGTATTGAAAGAGCCAGGTAGAAAAATGGCCAGGGCAGAGCAGAGGCAAGGATTCCCGCAGCGTGAATGGAGACACGCGGGAATGGGCTGTACAGAGGAAGCTGTTGCCGGCACTGAATTCCAGTGGGTAGAGTCTTTAATGCCCATATTGTGCCAGAGCATTTCATGTGCCTTTCACTCCTCAGTACAGAGTCTGGTGCAGGGTTTCTCAACCGTGGCAACTTGAAGACTATGCTGGCTGGGGAATTCTGGGAGTTGAAGTCCACACTTCTTCAAGCTGCCAAGGTTGA